GTTTGCTGAACCAGAGTACACTTGACTCCAAGTAACTCAAATCAGTTCATCAGCATTTGCCATTTGTCCCATCCCTATTTTATTGTTCATCCTTAGCGCTCACCAAGTACCCTGCACAATTCTGAATGTAGAGGAAAAAAACAATGAACAAAATGAGAAAATAACCCTTGCCCTAATTGGAGCCTGCACTCCAGTTATTTAAGTAGAATCTGATTTTGTTATTCTTATTTTCTAGCCAAGGAGAATGAAATGGTTTATATTACATAGAAAAGGAGCTATGAGCAAAGAAAATACCCGAACTGTTGCCCTTAAACACATTCTGATGGTCAAAATGGAAACTGGCTAGTTAAGGTAGACTCTGAAAGTGTGGGACATAGAGCCATGCATACATACTGTCCAACTTACGTAAAGAGAAAAGCTGGCACGAGGGTGAATGCCTTTGAATGTCTAGGATTCTTTTGGATTTCTTGAATCATGAAGAATTGATGGAATCTCACCCTGTAAATAAACAGGCTCTGACTCATTACCAGGCTCAGTGTAGAAGGAATCATGGTTTTTGAGTTACTGTAGACTCTGAAATGACAGATATAGAGTGAGCTCTTCCTTGGGATTGAAGAGGATACTTAAGTCTGCTAGAAATAAATTCTGCCTATGCTACAGAAGAATTACAGACAAAAAACAAGCAAACAGCTTCCTGTGACCCGAAAGTCTTCTCTCTTTTCTTTTTGATGGGTTTTTGTGCTTATAGATAAGTTCATTTTTTGTATCGTCCAAATAGAGGCTAGTATTCACATGGCCTAATGACATAAGGACTACTTTAAAAAAGTGGGTTGAAAATGGTATCTTGGAAGGAAAAAAGTGGTCCCCTTTAAACAAGGTAATGTAGTTTTGCCAGAGTAGATGCTTACATTGAGTTTAGTAATTTTTGAAAACCATTCAAAATGTTTTATTGCAGGGTTATTCATTCCTGACTGTGATTTCCCAGGGTGAAAAAGATTAGTCACTTTAGAAAATGGGTAATATGCAGTGTGTGACAGAAGGAACCTCGGTTCTGGCATCAAATAGACATGAGTTCAAATTCTTGGGGCTGCTACTTCATACCCACGTAGTCTGGGACATGCTGTATATCTTCTTTAAGCGTCAATTTTCTCACCTATAGAGTATGGAAAATAATTTGCATATCAGTGTGTGATAGAGATTAACAGAGAGAATATATTTGAAGTACCAAGCATACGTACTCAGTAAAAACTGGTATCTTTTCATCATTTTCTGGTGTTGAACTCTAAGGTAAAGTTTATATTTTATATATTATATTTATATAAGCTAGATTTGAAAAAGAATCTGAAGTTTAAGAGTCAATTTAAAAACATACAAAATAAAGTATAGAAATATTCTTGCTGTATAGTTTGTAGCAATAATGCATGTCTGTTCTCTAAAGGCCCTGTGAATTGTAATATGAATTGTAGCAAGTATCAACTCAGTAAAATAAATTCAAGCAAAGGGGGCTTAACCATCAGATAATTGCATTTTGGTTTTCTGGAAACTGGAATGTAAGTTACCAAGGCTATTTTTGTTTCGTTTCACAAGAGCAACATATTCTTGCTCCTCTGTGGTGTGGGCTCCTTCCTTTCACTTCTGACTGATTTTCTTTGCTTCCTCATCTTGCACGTAGTTTAGCTACCTTGCAGCTTCAGTAATACCACCAACCAGATGCTTCCCCCAGGACCCCACCTTTGAAATCATCAAAACCCAGCTAAGAACTTCTGAGAAAATTCCCCAGACTCTAAGTTCACACTGATTTCTGTCTGTTTCACCCAGACTTAATGTACTTTATTTTCAGTGCACAGGATCTGCTAGAAAGCAGATCATAAACTCCATGAGGGTAGGGCCATGGTTTCCCCAGTCAGCGATCCTAACACCTGGGACAGTGTTTTGTATGTAATAAGCAATCATCCATTTGTTCAATTCAGTTGAAACATTTTATGTTGGGTGGGTTCAGTGGGAGGAAATAAAATCACCAGCTTTCATCGTTTACTGTAATCAAGCCTGTTATCAGGAGCGTGCTATAGATAATGCTTTTGGGGGGTCCTACCAGTCTCCTTTATGTCTTTTTTATCTGGTTGCTATAAAGCGTTCCCTTTATTCCAAGAATTTGACTATAATGTACCTAAGGCTTAGTTTTCTTTTTCTCATTTATTGTGTTTTAGGGCTCTATGAGTTGATGCTTTTCATCAAATTTGGAAAAAAATTTGGCCATTATTTATTTCAAAATTATTTTGTCTCATTCCCTTTCTTGCTTTCTGATAATATTCCCCAGGTTACTTATACTTGATTCAGTATTTTCCTCCATTTTTTGGTCTTTCTGCTTCAGTTTGGGTAATTTCTATTGGCCCAACTTCAGGTTTACTGATTTTGGGGGTCAGTGTCCACTCTAAGAATGTTTTTATTTAATATATTATAATTTTCATTCTAGAATTTCTATTTGGTCATTTTTCAAGTTTTATTTTTCTATGTACAATATAGAACAAGTATTATATAGATATAATATTTTCATGTCATATGCATAATTATATGTGTTATGTGGAAATATAAAATGTATATAGAACATGCACATCTGGCATATATGACTATATTTATGTATGTGGCTTACTTATATGTATATGCCTTGTGTGTGTATCTTTTCCTACAAGTTATTTCGTATATATACAATAGTTTTAAAATCCTTGTCTGCTAATTCCAAAACCCGAGTCATGTACAGGTCTGCTTCTATTTACTGTGTTTTCTCTCCACTGTGGGTCGTATTTTCCTGCTGCTTTTTATGACTCAGGAAGTCATTTTGAACATTATATACAAAGACTTAGTAGAGACAGAGCATGGTATTTGTTTTATTTCCCAAAGAGTCCTTTGCTCCAGCTGGCAGTGAAAGAGAGCATTCAGAGTCGTCTTGGAGTTGAGCTGAGCTGGAGTGGGACCGTGAATAGCCCGACTTCCAACTTCCTGAGCAGTCAGTTTTGGGAGTTCAGTATTTGAATTAGAGAGGCATTGACTGGAATTTCAGATATTTTTGGTTCATGTTTTTACTTACTATTGGCAAGGCCCTTTCACTTGTAATTTTGGTAAATTCATTCATTAGTTCTGGTAGAGTTTTTTTTTTATGGATTTCTCTGAAATTTTTACATAAACAATTATGTTATTTGTTAATTAACAATTTTTCTTCCTAAGCTTCACCCCTTTTATGTATTTGTTTTTGTCTTTTTGCACTGGCTAAGAGTGCCATTAAAATGTTGCATTGAAGTGGAAAAACCAGATTTCCTTGCCTTAGTTCTGATCTTAGAAATAATTAAGTGTTTCATCATTAAATAAGATGTAGAATGTAGATTTCTTAAGAATGGTTTTTAATCACATGGGAGGAACATGCTTCTTTTCCTAGTTTGCTAAGAGTTGCATCATGAATGGGTAATGGATATTGGCAAATGTTTTTTACACCCATTGAAAGCATATTGTTAATATATTGAATTACGTTTATTGGTTTTCAAGTGTTAATTCAACCTTGAATTCTTGGGATAAGACACACCTGGGCATCATGTATTACCTTTTTTATTGCTGGATTTTATTTAATAATATTTTAAAGTATTTTTTCATCTATGTTCATGAGAAGTAGAGATCCATAATTTTCTTTTCTTGGAATTGCCTTTGGCAGGTTTTGGATCAGGGTAATTCTGGTCTCATGCAATGGAGTGAAAAATGTTACCTCACTTTCTTTTTTTCCTAGAAGAATTTATAAAAGATTGTTACTAGTTTTCCTTAGATGTTTGTGGCATTCACTGATGAAACCGTATGGCCATGGAGGGTTTTTTTGTGTGTGTGTTTAGTTATGAATTCAATGTCTTTAATTGACATAGGACAGTTTTATAAGTTTTTATAGTTTGTGTCTTTCAAGAAAATCTGGTTTTATCTAAACTATTAAGTTATTTGGCATAATGTTTTATAATATTCCTTATTTAATATCTTTGGTATCTCTAATGATCATCTTTGGAATTTTTAAACCATCTTTACTCATAGATTTTCTGTGTCAGTAACTTCTGCCTTTACTGTTTCCTTCCTTCTACCTACTTTGGGTTCAGTTGCTTTTCTTTCTCTAGTTTCTTAAGGTGGCAACATAGATCACAGATTTTCAACTCTTTTCCTTTTCTTATATAACCATTTAAAGATAAAAATTTGTCACTAACAATTGCTTTATTTGTATACCAAATATTTTGATTTGATTTTATTTTTTAGAGCAGTTTCACATTTATAACAAAATTGAGAGGAAGGTGCAGAGAGTTCCCACCTACCCCCTGCCCCACACATGCACAAGCTCCCTCAGTACCAGCCGCACTCACATGAATGGTGCATTTGTTACCAAGGACGAACCCACGTCGACCCATCATAATACCCTGGAGTCCATCGTTTAACTTAAGGTTAATTCTTGTGTTGTACATTCTGTGGGTTTGGACAAATGTATAATGACATATAGCTCTCCTTACAGTATCATACAGAGTACTTTCACTGTCCTAAAAGTTCTCCGTGCTCTGTCTATTCATCTCTTCCCCATTACCCTCTGGCATTCCTCCTTTGTGGTAATGTTGTCATGTATTTTCCTTCTATACGATATTATACGTTGTGCAGTTGGCTGTCTTTCAAGAATTAAGAGAAAAATAAGATAATCTTTTGTATTTATCTATAAATTTATCTTTCTGTTACTCTTCCTTCCTGTAAATCTGAGTTTCTGTCTGGTTATTACAAGTAACAAATTATGAGGCTTAACTTCCATGAAAGTGTTACTTATTAATTTTTGATGGACTGACACGTTCACGTGGTCAACCAAAAAGGCTTAGCTACAAGTTTCAATTCCTATTGCTGTGAGATCACATACATGCTCGGTAGAATGATGTATGTAGTTTATTAAGAAATCATTGCTGAAATTTCAGTTTTCTCTCTGCTGCTTCCTGCACTAACAGGTCTATGGAAGTGCAGGACCTAGCAAGTCCTCATCCTCTGGTTGGAGGTGGTGATACTCCGGGTAGCTCCAAACTGGAGAAAACTAATCTCAGCAGCACATCAGTCACCACAAATGGGACAGGAGGTAAGTGTACAACCCTGAAGACACCTAGAATCACATTTCAGTGTTTGCTGTAATTTCACACATTAGGGATCTACTAATAAGTAAATATTTCATTAGCAATAACATAAGTCAGTGTTACCCTCAAGTAATAGATAGTTAATGGATTGTTTATTGTTCTGTTGATTTTCTTGAAATTTTTGCTCCTCTTCTATACTTGAAAACATTGAGAAAGAATAGATAGCCCTGAGCAACATTTTGAATGTCTTTAGCAAGGCTTTTTTTTTGTATTTGCCTTAGTAAATATTTTAAAAAATGTAGAAAATATGGCCAAAGGATTTACACTTTGATCTTTAAAAAAAAAAGAAGGAAAAGAAATTATACTAGCTTTGGGTTTTGTTTTGAATTGTAAGAGAAAGGCTCCCCTCAATTGTTTTTTAAAATGGTTTTTCTTAAAAATGTTTTTGGGAATAGAAAAATAAATGACCTTATCTGCTGCATTTTCTTTTCAAAGAGAGAAATACCTAACATGAATTTAAAATAGGAGTTGAAATTTTTCCCAGATACCTTTTCATTTGAGTAGCCCATGATTATGTCACAGCATATGGCAGTGGTGATAGCTATTTCAAATATTCTGCCCTGCTGTGTTTATAAAATGCATTCAATCTGTCAGAAAATATGATTCAATTTTTGCATCAGAATATGTATATTTAGAAAGCTTATACACAGACACGTATATAAGCTGCATTTTAAATTATTCACAATTTTGAAGTTTTGTAGATTGTTTTAGTCAATGAGTGAAAAATTATTTGAAAATTATTTTAATTTATAAGCTATTCCTATTTATTAAAAATCAGCATTTGCCACATCATATTTTCTTTGAATTTTTCAATATTTATGAAACTGATACACCTCTTTCCACTTATTTCAGAATAACTGTGAAATCTAAAATTCTCTTTGTAAAGTTGTGTGGATTGCAACTTGCCTGTATTTAATAATCTTTTACACAAAACTCTTTGTAGATTAACATTTTCCCTGTTTATAGTGTTTATTTGTCTCTAAACATGCATCTGTAATTTCAGCCAATTAATTGCAGGATTGCAAATTTTATAAGATTGTTTGGTGATAATATGGGGTAAGAACATTTATATTTAAACCTTAACTTGGATACAAATAATAAGATTTTTAAAAGCCCCTTGCACTCTGGAATCAGACTTTGAAGTTTACTAATCAACACGTATATATATTTAACTGCACTAAAACAGACCTGATAAACTAAAATGTGAAAGTCATACCATGCAGTTGTAATTTTGGCAAAAGGGTCAGAAACCAGCACAAGCACTGAAAACTATTCTCGTACACCGAGTGGGCATTCAGACAATGAACCCTTATGCTGTTCCTGTTCTCAGGGGACAACATGACTGTTTTAAACACTGCAGACTGGTTGCTGAGTTGCAACACCCCCTCCTCCGCAACAAGTATGAGAGATGATGGTACACTGCATGTGTTTGGGTGTGTCGGTTTGCCCTTCTGATTGGCTCTCTTGCTATTTCTGTGTGCACTCCCTTCTCCGTGTTCAGTACTTGTAAAGAAAATGGAGACATGAACATGCCTTTATGTGTTTATTGATAACAGTTGACTTTTTTTATCAACTAGTATTCTAATCTTAGATCAGTAGTATTCTTAGATTTTTCATAATATTGCACAAATAGGTACATCTATTATTTTTCCAACTACTTATCAGTTTATTAAGTGGTTAATCAGCCCAATTGTCACATCAGTAAGAGCAGTAGAAGCAGATCGTGCCCGTATATACACACTCAATCTCCATAGCCTATGGCCTGCCATAATTTAAATTAAATGCGTAACGTGGCAAAAAGATCTTTCATATTTTACAGACTTTGATAAATAACCCAATTAAAATACTTAAAGTAACAGTAACATTTAAAAGCCCATCATTTAAAATAATTACCAGTGATGAAAGCTATACATTTAAAATTACAAAGTCTCTTAAAGTGTTTGAACTATAGGTATTAACCACATTCATATATTATATACATATAATATAAATAAACTTTCTTCTAAACCAGAAGTTAACATGCTATCAAAATTTAAAAATTAAAACAAAACCACATAACACTACTGTGGAACCACCCAATTCTAGGATTAAAAAGAAGAGCTCAGGACCTATTAGAAAAGTGCATTACAAGCAAGCAGTTCAAATAGGCACAGACTGGCTGGACTTTGCGGTATATTAGAATATATGATCAGCGAATGAAGAGTACTCCGTTGTGCCCATTCGTTAAATTTTATAGTTTTAGTTCAATTTTTTTCAACTCCATTCTTAAAATATACTTTTTCATACCTAAAAAATATGTTGCCAGAATTTTGTTCTTCTGAATTCTAACTCAAGGGTCTTTTTATGTAAAAGGCCAAACAGGAACTATTTTAGGCTTTGTAGGCTGTGCTGCTTCTGTTTTATCTACGCTCAAAAGCAGCCATAGGCAATACATAAATAAATGAACGTGGTCAGGTGCCAATAAAATTTGATTTATGGGCCCTGAAATTTAAATTTCATGTAATTATCATATGTCAGAAAATATTCTAATTTCTTTTTTTTTTTTAACATTTAAGATGTAAAAAACATTCTTAGTTCACTGGCTGTTGTTCTGTTCTGAAGTATTAATGTAATACAGGCAACTTTACAATAGTGGATATATAAAATCAGTATTTAGTCATTTACATCTGATCTCAAACAGAAACATTTTTCTAAGGGTTAAACATTAGGTTTTCCTGGTTTTTAGTATTAATGTTGTAAGTTGTGTGATCCTGTGGGAAAAACAAGGACTTCTGGGTCGGGAGGACCGTAGTTCTGAAGCTTGGCACTGTATTTACTAGCTGTGTCATCTTAGACAAGTTACTTAACCTCTCTGAGCTGTAATTCCTTTCTATAAAAGGAGGCTGGCAAAAGCCTCTGGCAAGGCTTTTGTTTTAAATTATATAATGTATGTAAATTTCTTGGCAATATAAACCAATATATTTCCTCTTCCTTAATTAATAAATCAATAATAATTAAGCAACATTTTTTAAAGAAAAATATAAACATGCAGTATGTTAAAAGACTCTCCAGTGTTTGGTCAGATAAATTCTGCATTTAGAACATGTAAGCTGGCCATAGAGGCAAACTTTTAGGAACAAAATGTTAAGTATACTTTTATTAATGAGATAGTCTCAGTGGCATAATTGTATGAAATATTTAATAAATTTTAATGACTCTTTATGCCATGTGTTTATAAGACAAACTAAGCATTTGGTGCACAGTGTTTCCTATTGAGAGTAAACTATTTTATTTATAATTCTGGGTTTCATTGTTGGAATTGGATCACTTTTTTAAATTATTGTAATAAAACAAAAAGCAAAGGCTGATTTAGTGGCTTTTCAAGATCTTTCCATTAATTTTGAGATTTCCAAAAAGATAATTTTAATAGTTTTTACTAATACGAATGAGTTTATATTGCCTTAATATCTTACCGTACTACCTTGGTGTTGTTTAAATATATTACATTATTCTTTAAAGTAATTTAGAACGTCTTGTCACCTTAATCCTAATTATAGAATTACATCTGCAGATTTATTTTGGAACCTAGATTTTCCTTTAAATTTTTATCACTTGTAAAATTGTTAAAATGTAGAACTATCAATAAAAATAGAATAAATACAATCATACCTTAACATATAGACCAGTAGTCAACAAACTTTTTCTGTGAAGGGTCAGATAGTAAATAGTTTTCAGCGTTGCAGGCCATATGGTCCCTGTTGTAATGATTCATTTCTGCTTTCATTGCACAAAAGCAGCCATAGACAATATGTAAACAAATGAGCTTGATCATATTCAAATAAAACTTGACCTCTGAACCCTGAAATTTGAATTTCATAAAATTACCCTTTTTTGATGTTTTCAACTATTAAAAACTGTAAGTCATTCTTGGCTCATGGGCTATACAGAAATGGGCCGTGGGGAGACTTGACACTTGAGGTGTCGTTTGCTAACCACTGATACAAATTCATATATGCTACTTCATGTGTACACTTACTTCATGTATATGTACATATATGCATGTAAATGCACGGCAGTCAGGTGAAAAGTTACCTCCAGATATAGGAGTAAGATTCTGATTTTCCTAATGGTGTCAAGATACGTGATTAGCTATACTTTGTATACAAAAATACTTAGATTTATTGGGAGTGCTTAGGATAGGGTCTGAAAGTGAACTTTCATTTTCTCACTTAAAATGTATCAAGTTCCTATTATATGCCAGGCTCTGTGCTAAGAAATAGGAATCCAATGACCTATAGAACATGATACTAGCCATCAAGGGACCAAAAGTCTAGCAGAGGGAAACAGAAAAGAAAATAATGAGTGCATAATGTGTTCAAGGTGGGTGCTCAGCAGAGGGAGGGAATACTTGATTCTACATGGAGATTAAGAAAATACTTCAAAGAGAGCATTTGGGGGACCCAAGATCAGACATTCTGATCAGGTTTATGATATTCTCTATATTTGAAATCTATAGATCATGGAAAAGAATCTCCCAGAATTTTTAATGTGTAGATGATTGACTCACATGGAATGAATTTGCTTCTGAATAGTATGTGTTTGTGCAATAGAGCCTCCTACTGTTGTGGCTCTGTTCTTTTTAGATTTTCTGTTTGGCATGAAAGCCATAAATTAGAAGCTTCAAATTATTTTACAAAACTAAATACTGTCTGGATATTTAGAAATAAAAGACATTTGGTGTTCATAGGTTTTGGAGTGAAAAAACTGAGGTAGAGAAACATAAGTCAGGCTGTACCAATTATTAAAACTGGGTAGGCAATGCTTCTTTCTTCCCTGCTGTGTTATAAATTGGGTCCTTCTTCATCTAACTCCTAAAATTCTTTGTAGAACCTAAGCTGTCAGACATGGCTATGTAAGATTTTGTGTTTCAGAAAGGCGTGTATTTGGAATTACATATGTAGTCTTTTAAGTGGACACCAGTTTAAACAGATTTTTGAAGATGAAATGTAATACGTAAATTACTTGGATTACCTTCTCTCTCAAGAGTTAAGCCCAATATTGCAACAAATGAACATGAACATTGGGTTATGATAACACAGACTTCCTCTAAAAACAATTAGTATACATTAATGTTGTACTTGAATTCTAAAGATAATCTGAAGAGACAAGGTTAAATTTGCTTTGGAAATACGTATATGAGGCTATAGGTGAAGGTTAGGATGTGAAGAGCAAAAATCAGGATTTAGTAGCCATAGCTGACACCTGACAATAATCACATTACAATCTTGCTTTAGTCTGTAGATATCAATTATTTTTAAACGTTAAAAATAAAATCCAATTGTATCAATATAATAAAATTACTTTTCCGTTTTTTTTTTTTAAACTATTTGGCTTTATGAAAAACACCTAAGTTGCTAGTGTGGAGGGAGTCTGACTGTAATTGTTTCTTAAAGTAATGGTTTTGTACAAAGTGCTATATGTGTATAGTTATTTCATCCCATCTTTAGGGAGATAAATTACTTATTTTGAGCATGTAGAAGAATAAAACCAAAAAACTCATTAGGCTAAGACATTAAGCTATGATCACTGCTTTTGAAATCACATGTTTATTTTGTATGTTTGAATTTTGTTGAAAAATGTGATGCTTTTCTCCTATAGGCTTTTCTTTCCACTTTATAGCATGTAATGATATTGGACACTGTCCTAAAAATAAGTAAAAAGCTCTGTTTAACCTCTGTGTTAATTTAAGAAAAATAAAATACAGTTAAAAAGTACATTTGAACATGAGAGTGAACATATACACATAATCATTTGGAATGAGGTTTTTACAAATTTTAGGAAATAGTGAGATGTGTAAAACTGGATTTGCTTTATTGATAAATATCTTTCCAGTAGTGCCTTGCACGTACTAAATGAAAAAAATTTCCTGCCACTGGAAAAGTATATGGTATGTCTCATTTAAAGTGTGGAAACAAACACAAGACCAAAGAAAATAGAATACATTTCAGATATATTCGGACTTTTAGAAAAATGGAAATGACTTCCATTTTTCAAACTTTGTAATTATCATAATGTTTATACTAATTACCTATTTTGTAAATATTAAGTACATTTGTATTACTAGTTACATGTTTTATAAATATTAAGTACATTTGTATTAATATTTATAAAGCAGGTAATTAGTGTAAGTATTATGCTGTGTTATAAATACTTCTTTGTATTTTAACATCTTTTTAATAAATCAGCTAATTTCACTTCTGAGTTTTCTTTTCCTGAAAAAAAATTATTATTACTTAATATTACTTTCTTTCTCTATAAAAATCAACTCAGAAGAACTCTGCATCTTACTTGGAGCTCAAGAGATGTTTGTTGATGCTCACCTCGTGCAAACCTATTTTCTGTAGCACCATAATTAATCCCCCCCCTTCCCTTTTGTTCTACTCTTACTTGCATATGAAAAATAAATTTGCATTAATTTGCACCAGTTCCCCCAAATGTTAGCTTCCATTTAATTATTACTTTTAAATGCATGTTTTTTAGTACACTGAACACAGCCTGGTATGTTTACTTCCCTTTATATGCTTTCTAAGGATGCCTTTTCTCAGTTAAATGACCCTTCTTTGTCTGTCTTTGACTAAATGCAGACCGTTAAAATTTTAATGAGAGATGACTCCGGGATAATGAATGCAACCACAAACCCTCTGGCTTTTTTTCCTTCTCCTTTTGACCACCTGAAACTTTCAAATTGAGATTATAATCAACACCAAGGTTTTAAAATCAAATCTCAAAGCTGGGATCCAAAGTAACGGGACTAATCCTCATGTCTGGCTTCTAGACTAGTTTTATAGACATTCTGCCCCCCTCTCCCCAATTCACAAGTGACATATATATTATCATTAGTATTGATCAATTGAATTTAGCCACTATCAGAGTTTGGAAATTCCAAAAAACTGTCTTGCCTTAGTTTTGCTGGAGACTCTGAACGATTCTTTTTTGTCACGTGTTGAAAGTCAAAAGTGGACACTGCATCACAGAGGGTACCTTTTCCACCTTTCTAAACGCTCCTCTGGATCATCTCTGTTCAGACGCAGGGAGTTCTTGGTTACTTAGTGCTGCCTCTGAGGCAGTATGATTTAGAGTTTGGATTCTGAAACTGTACCACCTGGTCTCAAATTCTAGCTCTTAAAAGCTGTGTGACTATAGGCATATTATTTAGTCTCCTTGTGCCTCAGTTTCCTCAGCTGAAAAATGAAGATGATGATATTATTCATCTCTTATGATCATTGTGAGGAATAAATGAGTTAAGATCTCACAAAGCGCAGCAGCCGTGCCTGGAACGTGTCAAGTGCCTTTGGAGTGTGTGCTCTTATCACCTGCTTTCAGATTTGCTACTTCTTGTTGTCTTTCAAAATATTTCATGAGGAAAAAAGGAGAAAATACTTTAGTAGCCTGTTTCCAGATTTTTCAGTTTTCATCTTTAATAAAGTGTTCCTTTACTCTGTCGAGGAGATAGTCCCACTCTTTCAATCTCTGAGCCTTTCTGAAGAGTCAGTGTCATGACCATCACCCGTTTTCATACGTGAAGGCAGCGTGTTATGGTGGAGAGATCATGGATGTTAGAACAAAAAACCTGGGTTCAAATCTTAGTTCTGTCACATGCTGTGGTGGAATTTATCCAGGTTCCTCATCCCACCTGAACTTCAGTTTCCTTTTCAGTGTATAAAAAAGGTATATACTAACTACTACATATAAAATAGATAAACAAGAAGTTTCTGCTATATAGCACAGGGAACTATGTTCAATATCTTGTGGTAACCTATAATGAAAAAGAATATGAAACAAATATATGTATATATATGTATGACTGAACTATTGTGCTGTATACCAGAAGTTGAAACAACATTGTAAACTGACTATACTTCAGTTTAAAAAAATGAAAAAAAAAGGATATATTTGTTCATATCAGTCGGGTTCTTTTAAGGATTAACTAAATGTACGTAGCCCAGCACATAGTAAACATTTGATAAATAGTTATGCAGTAGTAAATAATTTTGCAGTGTAAATATAATCAGTGGTCAGCTACAGTCATAATATGGACTCCTATCAAGTATTAGTAATGACAAGTAATAACCACCAATTCATCATTTATCATCATACAAATAATTAGACCCGACTCCTTAGACTATTGCTGCTGTTGAACACTAGGTCAATCTTAAATTCCCCTCTTGCTGGGAGAAGTAATCCAAGTGTCTTTACGTCCTCTTTCCAGCCGTTACACTTCTACTCTGAACCTTCCAGCAAATCATCACAACGTTATTAAATCACGGATAGTAAATGAACCCCAGAGCTCACAGAGGGAGGCTCTGGCCGATTCTCTTGATGTGGGAAGGGAACATAATCATTAGTGCATGTTTCTCCATCATTAATTGCTTTTCTAACAGAATAACGTTGCTGCCTTGCCTGGTTGTTGGGCATGCTCTGCTCTTGACCCCACTATTCTTTTTGCCACATTTGTCCGTGGTTGGTTTAGTCACCAGCTTTGTTCATTATAGGTTTCTGCTTGCTTCTGAGTTTTTTAACTGTATCATTCCATTTATGACCAGGAAACATAAGAGGTGTTAAGTAGAAAGTTATTTAGTTTATTCCCTTGCTGCTGTGATACATGTATCAGAGCCTTGCCCACAAGGGGAAAATATGGTGTGACAAAATGGGTAGCGGCTTTTTCACTGCCCTGGCCAAACTCCTTACATCTAAGAATGACAATAATGTGTACCAGGCCACATCGGTGCCAAGTGAGGATTTTGCCAAAATATACCACCTCAGAGGAGAAGTAATATATGAAGGAGTTTTCAGAAGATATACTTCCTGTGGTAGAAACCTTCTCTTATTCTATGCTTGTCTCTATAATGTATTAAAAATTGTTATACCATTAAAATAGGAAGTCCAGCACCGTGTGGTTCTTCAGCTTTGCGTAGAGCAGAAATTGACTGAATGACTCATTTTTCACCCATCATATGAATACACCCATGGTTTCTGTATTTGCATATGCCTTCATTGTACTCTTAGGCAGTTTCTTTTTTTTAACGTCCTCTTGGGAAGAATAAAATGTAAGCAGTAAATCTCTTTGTTATGATTTGGATTTAATGTGCTAAACACTGGCCGATGATTCCTTCTTTCTGCCTTTTGATTATAATATCAGAGTGTGCTTAGGTGAGTTAAAAATGCAAATTCATGTACTGCTGTTTCACTTTATAAGGCTGACTGCCTTTAAAAGCCAGATTCAAGCGCACCAGCTTAGGCAGGGGATTTTTAGATTGAATCCTCTGTAAATGCATGTCCATGTAGGAGCTAAATTAACAAACTTCTCCTCATCAACCTCTCAGGTTTTCTCTTGCATGCCCATGGTAGCTAGAAAGACCACTAGTAGAGCAGTCAGCATCTTTGGTATGAATTTAGAAATAAAACTCACATGTACTTATTCTTCTACGTAGTGTCTCTCCTTGCAGTCAAAACAGAGCCTTTGAACAGCAGTGAAACCACAACCACGACTGGAGATGGAGCGCTTGACACTTTTACTGGGTCAGGTAAAGCCTTAAGCTCGTGTGTTGTTACATACACATGGGGGTACACGTCATTCTCCTCGCGAATAAGCAGCATAAACACCAAAGCTGTTAGAATCTGGATTTTTATAAATTCAGCAATAAATTCACCTTTTGGAAAATTAACTGTCTTTAAACTGTGTATTTTTAGAAATGATGTTCGGAATTGTTTTGCTGCATCTTTAGTTGACAGCAAAACAGCCCCACAACTTCCTTATTAGGAAGAAGCCGAGCAGGCTTCTTTCATAGTTGTTTTATGCATGTTTAATTTAATAATCAGGTTGTAATAGTTGACTTTGTTCCTTCAACTCGCCTTTTAAATGACATAAAAACTGCCTTTTCGGCAACATTCGAGATGTAAAACTATCCGTTTGATTCCTCCTAAATAACCTTGTTTCCTCTCTGGGTTGAAAAAAAAAAATCCTCCTGTGTAAGCAGCTGAGTGACAAGTATTAAAGGTTAATGGGCTGAGGGAGAGCACATGCTGGTTGCATTAGAACCCAGCCTCTGAGAGCACCACTTTCACTCAGATGCTTCAGAGAGAACAATAGCATGTCTTTAAACATCAATCCTTTTTAAATAGAAGGACCTGATAACTCCCAGGTGGAAGCGAAGGACATGCATTAAGTTGACTTAAAGGTTTTGTTTTTTAAGTTTAATATTTTGTTTGGTTTATTATCTGATGAAAGGATTTTTTTTCTTTAACCTGAGGAGGAATTTGTTTAGCAGAAAGATGAACATTGAACCCAAAAAAGTATTTGTGATAATTAAATCTCGGTTCTGTTATTCTCCTCCGATACATTTGATATTTATTCATGTTCTCATATACAAGGATTTCACGTGGGTATGCCTCTCAGGTAAAAAGAGTTGAGGTAAATCTTTGAGTAAAATGCCCTTGTAGCATATATTTGATTTTTATAGATACAGATGATCCCGTTTCATTGGTTTGCACTGATTGGAAGCAGCTGCCATGTATTCACATAAATATTAGTGCTCCAAGCAGAAAGAAGTAGTAACTTAGACACTTTGTATACAGACACATATGTCCTAATTCACATCCTTTTTGATGATTCGCTTGCCTCCCAGGAGATAATAGGTACCCACTTGCTCTAACATTCGTATTACTCACCATAACTGTTGTGAACTTTCTTCAAAGTAAATGCATATGATCATGGTTTTTAAGGATAGGAATGAAATTAAGTATTTGCTGACATACTTAAATAGTATACCACAAGTTAATGAAAGCTGAATGAGAAAATTATGGGATGCTAGTTCCAGAAGGCATTTCAGAGACCTCCGATCCATTTTATGAGAAACTATACCTAGGCACAGAGAAGGTAAAGGTGGTTAAGGCCACACGGTCAGGGCCTCACAGGGGGTCACTGGTGTAAATGAGTCTGGAGTGATGACCCAGTCAGTCCAGGAGTCCTTTCTCTAATACCCCACTGGAAAATATAAAGATGGAAAAAGAAGTAGGTGTTAACCATCATGCTGTCTGAAATTTGCTCATATTCTATTCACAAATAGTTTCCCAGTGTTAAGAATTATCCAGGGCTGTGCTGTCCAATGTAAGTAGCCACTGGCCATAGATGGCTATTTAGTCTAATTAACTAATATTTGGTAAAAGCAAAAATGTTTTATCTAATTACATCAGTCATACTTCAAGTATTTAATAGATGTGTGTGGGTTTTTTAGTGGCTTCCGTATTAGGCAACTCAGATATAGAACAATTCCAACATCATGGACCAGATTTAATCGGACAGATTCTCAGCAGCACCACTGTTCAAAACCTGGCTAATTTCTTGTTGTGGGGGAGCTGTTCTCTGCATCGTAAGGTGTTTAGCAGCATCCCTGGCATCCAGCCAAAGCTGACAATAGCATTCCTCAGTTGTGACAACCGAAAATGTCTCCAGGCATTTAAATGTCCCCTGGCTGGCAAAATTTCCACCCACCCCCTCCCCTCATCCCTCATCTCTCATCTCATTGAGAGTCATTGATCTAAAGTCTTAAAATAAGAAGAGTAAAACCTTAAAATTGCTTGACAGCACCCTATGAAAACTTGGTATATTCATTAAAAAGGTGTTTTAATTAATTTTCAAGACTTTTTGAAGATAAGCACTTTTGCTTATTTTGTATGCAGATGTGAAGGTGTATAATGAATTCTTTGCATAACACCTCTTGATTAATTAAATGACAATGGGGAATAAAAAGAATGTCTCCTAAATTTGTGCATGGTATTCTAGAAATTACACTGGAAATTAGGCTGCTCTGTGTAGAAACAGTCTTTACTTTGATCAGCATAATCTCAGCTCACTTTAATCCAATGTTGTTTTCAGTTGTCTACAGATTTATTGCTTACAATAAAATATACACATTTTAGTTAAGAAGCGTAAACTCTTAAGTTTTATGTGAACATCTTAGTTTTCTGAGTCAAAGGTCTTGTATTCTACTTGGAAGATGAACATACAGACATTAATACGAAATTTTTAAGTTTGAACCTTTATTCTATTATGGGTACACTATTCTAATGATGTCTAGATTCATTCATTAGAGGGGAGAAGCATCTTATATATTCAAAATTGTGTTCGTTTATCTGAGGGTTTCTTCTGAAATAATTTTGCTCTTTGGCTAATTCAATAAAAGCAGCTATAGTGAGTGTTTCTTTTCATTATTTGATGTCTCTTTAGAAAGCCTTATGTTTTACAATCCTGAGAATAACTGATGAGTATAGTCCAAGTTTTGAGTGTGCCACATGATGCTTTATAAATACGAGACAGTAAATCTGGAGTTAAGCTTTACTTAACTAGATTTCTCCTAAGCAGAGTATTTGCTACTGTGAATTAATGAATGCGACTGAATTTCCTGTGGAATATACTGTTGCTATTACGTAACATGTATTTAATGTCCAAAGTGTGATTTTTTAAAAAAAAACTGTCCTCACTGAGTTGATTTTAAAGTTTTAAACATTCTTCATGTTTTTAATAAATAAGTAGAAAATTAATGGTTCATTAGTTAATCAGACATAGCAAGTTTGCTCAAACTTTGGTTGCTGAAAATATTTAGAACATAACACCTCTAGTTATATTCAGTGACTTTCAAAATTGATTCATAATATTCTTGAAAGTGTACTTTCTGCACGATTGCTATGAAAACTTTAGTGTATTCTCTATACTCAGAGCTTCCAGTCCAAATAGCATTTTAAATACATTAAATTCTATGTGTTTATGAAACAATAGATCATAAGGGTACTTAATAGCATTTGGATATAGAAATATATCGTGTTTCATAAAATAGTTAGCAACCTAAACCTATTTGTCACTTTTACAATGCTAAAAGCTTAGCTCCAGAATTACTATGAACAACTTAGAAAGGACGTGGTACTTTGAAGTATAACTATGATTGATTAGACTAAACTAATTCCAGGGCTGCATTGTGTACTACTTTAATCTTTTTGAAAAGTGAATGAACAGCAGATGGTCTAATAAAGACACTCTGTGTGCTTGCCCAGTATGGATTGGCTCTGAAGGGACTGCCTTAACACTTTAGAGTCCATATATTTGCAATACATCTGTCTTAGTCAAGGCAGATGGTTAAAGGAAAGAGAAACTTCCAAATTTTTGGATCTATTCCAGTTTGGGGCTGCATGTTTGGCTGAGATGTTGTTAATAGGACCTGACCTTCACCTTTAAATTCTTCTCAAAAATAATACCATCTCTGATTATTTAAAATATATTTGTAAATTTGATTGCTGCTGTATCTTGCATTTATGTATTTTTTTAAATGTTACAGTATCACCCTTGCTTTCTGTGTATATTCCAATTATTACTAGAACATTTTGGACTCTGTATTTTTAACTACTCCTCTGATTGATTAAATGAAAGGACATAGAAAAGGATAGCATTTTAGAATTTGAAAATGAAGGTTGGAACTTCACATTTTTCTTCATTTTCATTGTATTTCTATTCGAATGAACATGGAGGAAGAGCAATATCTTGTCATCATACTTGGAATTTGAAACATAAAGTTTGCAAATTAAAACAGTTATCTTTATATCATGAAAGTTTAATTACCTATAGTCAAAGGTGTTTATTCTTAGCATATTAATACACAAGAGCTTGCTACCGATTTGAGAAAATGGAGGAATTACGAAGGGGATGACATGTGGGAAGAGTCCATCTCGTGCTCCTAGTACAAATGTGAAACAGTTTAATTAGGAGAAAATGTGTAGGCATCTGTTTCTGTTTAGAAGATGAATGAGTTGTTAGAAACCTATCTTTAACATAGTAGTTTGTTTAAATTAGTGTTTTACACTCTCATGAAATGTATTTGTGAAGCAACCTTTTTTGCACTGATTTTGTGTCTTACAGTAATAACAAGCAGCGGCTACAGCCCCAGGTCAGCGCATCAGTATTCCCCACAGCTGTATCCCTCCAAGTAAGTGCTCTGCAGTCTTTCAAATTCGTTAGAACAGTTTTCCGGGATTATCGTGATTCATCGTATCTACACAATATAACAACTTTAAGTGGGGATATATTTATGTATATAAATGTTATAGCTAGTTGAATAGATACTTGGATACCTTAGTTAGCTAGGTTAGACATATTGATAAATACCCTTCACACATCTAGGAATAAAGATACACTTACTTTTGTCAGGGCAGTTCCTTTAATGCTAGATATTTGTCTACTTTGAGGAAGGCATCGAGCTCAAACCAGAATGCATTGATTCCATTTTAATGAAGATTCAGAAATGCTGACTAGGGGAAAGAAAATCTCAAAAGATTACATTTTATACAAGTATCAACACTTCATCATTTGTTCCCTCATTATAATATTTTTAATGGATTTCAAGTTCTAATAAACATATTTTTGAAAAACAAAGCTATTGTGTTGATAACTAACATAGTCAACTTATTGAGGATGAGGGTAGAAATCACACGTTTAGCTATCTTGGGTGTATATCTGAATTCGGTTGCCATCAGCCAGATGTGTCAAGATTTTGGATCCCTGGTCATGCACGTTGAAAAGCTGTTTTCTGCAGCAAGTGAGAGTGTCTATCCTTAAACATAGGCTGAGGGTTAGATATCCATTTCGGAACATTCTGTAAGATGTGTCATGGTGAAGGAATTGGCACTCCTTTCTTTTGGTGAAGCTGCCTACTTTTTTTCTTTTCTTTTCTTTTTAAAATAAGAATTCTTTGTAGAGAATTCTTGGTAGGGGTTTTGACAGCTTTTGTAGTCATCCCATAGCATCGAGTCGCACGTGATGACCGTTAATATGCTCATGAGTGTACTAATTAATTGGCCTGGGCTGCACTTCTCCCATCTGCATATCAATTTGAAATACTGTTTCTGATGTAAACAAGAATTACGGACCTGGACAAGACTTTAGGTATCATACCTAAGGCAGTTTTCTTTTGAAAGGTGAGGTGTAGACTTAGGGAGTTGAAATTGTCCAAGGTCACTAAATGGGTTTGTAGCAGAGCCTGGGCTGCTGACATTCAGACTCTTGTTCATTTCTATACGGTTCAAATGATAGTGTGGATAAAGAAGAAGGATTACTTCCTGGCTGTTATCAGGTTTCGCTGAAGCTAAGCTGTCTGAATTAAAATGCAGTCTTTGTTGCCACAGTAATGCTATTTTTCTGATATTTAGGCCCTATCCACACATTCTTTCTACACCAGCAGCTCAAACAATGTCTGCGTATGCAGGCCAGACTCAGTATTCGGGGATGCAGCAGCCAGCCGTCTACACCGCCTACTCACAGACAGGACAGCCCTACAGCCTGCCCACTTACGGTATTTCCCGTCTTCTCTCTTCTCCTTTTTGGTTTATAAGCAGGTAATCCTGCTCGCTCATAGGAGTTGTATGTTCTACTAGAAGTTATGACTCAGAAGGAAGATCATTTTACTAATGAAACGGTTTGCACATGCGTTTTCCAAACAGATCTGGGCGTGATGTTACCAGGCATCAAGACAGAGAGCGGACTTTCACAGACCCAGTCCCCGTTGCAGAGTGGGTGTCTCAGTTACAGCCCAGGGTTCTCCACCCCACAGCCAGGCCAGACTCCTTACTCTTACCAGATGCCAGGTGAGTAGCTGGACAGGGAACCTGTGCTCTGTGAGAAGGAATTCTTTAGATGAGAGTCCTTGGCTTCAGCCTAGGAATACGCAGTCACAAAGACTGTTTAGACACTACCACTGCTCACACGTTTTCATCAGAAAAGGCAAATAAGTAGGAAGAAACATGATGGACAGAGCTCAGTGGACATCCAGAAACACGACACATACCAAATTTAAATACCTAAGTTTAAGTTGCAGAAAGTTGACAGGAAACAAAGTCAAGTAAAGCAGCCTCCAAGCCAGACACCACGCCAGTCGCATGTTTGGCATCTCCTTAAGTGATTTCAAAGCTGCATGACAAAACCCAGTATTTTCCTGTCAGTATCCCTTGTGTACGTATTGCTATTTTGATTGTATTTAAAATTGAATTAGCACTGTTCTAAGTCCCATTTATCATTGAATGACGGAGGATTTTTTTGTTCATTTATACAATACCTCTCCCCTATTAATACTATATTTCTTAAATCGGAATATTTATATATGTTATGCTTACCCCCTGAAAAGTTTTTCTCCTTATATGATCATTATTTAATGTTTTTGTCTTTGATTAAAAATTATTGCTGGACGTTGTATGGTAGTGGCAGAAAACATTTTCGTGACATACCAAAAACATTAAAAGCTTCTTCCTCTCTGTCATTTTGTCTATATTTGCTAGCCTTAAGGTAAGGCTGTATTAACATATTTGAACCAACTAATATTGACATTTTAGTTGATTGATTGACATGAAATAATTACTTAGACCTTTTTGGCTGAAATGACAGGTCTCTTTTTCTTCCTTAGAATTTTGGCATGCGTGCGTCAGCCACAGTGGCCACTCGGCTTCGGCTAGCAGTGTGGAAGGGGCTGTAGAGACATTTCCATTTATTCCTCAAGATACTTTCATATTGGATATTCCAGGCCTCATCAGTTTCAGTTTGTGTTGGTTACCTAATACAGTTGCTATTCAAAACACAGTGATAAATAATCAACTGCTTCAGTTATTTTATTCCTTAACAAGTACATTCCGTGAGAACATATTCTTTTAAAAACATCTCAATTGATAGTTTACTTGTTTTTGCCCTAGTTTAAAAAATAAGTAAGTAAGTTTCTGACCTTGCTGTAAAATTTCAGAAGGCCATGAAACGTTAGATGATTGCAGTATAAACCATTCTCCCTTGGGTCTGAGCCCTAGCTCCCAGCTTTTTTGTTCTAAGGAAAGGACATAGAGAAACAAAAAGACAGGAAGCTGCAAGCATTGATTCTAAATGGGTTCTGTGTGTCTATTTCCTAAGCTAACCCCAGCCAAATGTTTAACTCAAGTGGTTTTTGTGTGCATATGCAGTTGATATGACCATCTGAAAGTTCTAATAGTTTCCTGGAAGTAGTCTCAGTATGTATAATATTTTATTCTTTGAGTACTTCTGTACCTCTAGACACTGACCCCTGAAGCTTAGCTGCAGTCCCTCCTGTTTACCTCCACAGATTTCCAAAGCAAAGACTTCACCTGTGGTCACAAGACAGAGCGAAGCACATTTTCCTTATAAATCTCTCAATTTCAAATCTTATTGCCTCAACAACAAAATTAAAAATGTGTTTCTCCCATTGAATCCTGCAAAGTGAAATATTTTTAATGTTTTAATATTTTAATATTTAGTAATAATATTTTTAATACTTTTTAAGTGCAATTTGTTCTTTACCTCTAGGTTCTAGTTTTGCACCGTCATCTACTATTTACGCAAATAATTCGGTTTCCAATTCAACGAATTTCAGTGGTTCGCAACAGGTATGGTAGCTTTTTGTATTTATGCTTTTTATTATCTGTTTCACATTTTTAAAGAATAGTTTCAGGTTAATAAGGTTTATTTATTTAAAAGCAAGATGGCATTTCAGGGTAATAAAAATTAGCTATCTAGAATTCTTGGGATATATGTAATTGCACATGTTTTAGGTTTCCTGATTGCTGAAGGTTTGCCCTTTAAACATTTAAGCCATGATTGTTGTAGTCATTTGGCATGAAATCTATTGCATATTTTCCAATTATCTTCAGCTGTACTAAACATAATTTTATTTTTTTCTTGATAAAACAGTTACTATTATGAAAATTGATAGGTTGAACTATAATCAGGAATTGGGTTGTGATGTAGACTGTAGGGACATTCTTGATCCAAGAAGAAATCATTTGTTACTAAACAATACTCCTCTCAAACTACTATTGGCTTATATTTTTTTGGTTGTATGAGTCTTTTTGATAACTATTTAATTCCTGCTCTCCTGATAGCTGTAACTTGGTTGTGTTTGTCACTGTGCCTGCTGCTAACAGTCCTTAGTTCTCCTAGTTATGTTTGCTTAATATTTTTGTGAGTTTTGAAATCCACGAGTATTTCTAGAATCACATTAGAATTATGTGTGGAGCAAGAGTGGACGTCTGTGAGTGGGTGAATCAGTGTGCTGTGAGATGAATTTGTGATATATTCAGAAACTTTTGTCCTTATTTCCTACTTCTCAGTCACGTTCAGAGTAGTTGAGATGGAAGGGTAACTGATTTCATGGGCGGGCGATCCACTATTTTATTCTAACATTAATTGCTGGACTTACACACTTTCTAAAATGTAAGTTACTGCACGAGTGTTTGCTCTTTGAATTTACTGAAGGAATTATATTAATTGCCTTCTTTCAGTTTTTATCAAGGTAACAAAAGGCAAAAAGGACAGTTTGATTATTAAACAGTGGAATAATAACATTTTGACAGGATTAGATTGCATAATTTGGCATTATTTTGAAAAATGGTTTCTTAAAACACTAAACATCAGAGCCAGTGCACATATTTAATTTTTTAAAATATTGAGAATTTTTGCTAATCCAGGTAGCTTAATTTCACTCACTCTTTTATTGATACTGCAAAGTTATTGAACACCTGCTAGCCATCAGATTTTTTAAAATTTGCATATATGTACTGTTTATTGTTTCTAAGAACAATTTAGAGCTTTAGCTTTTTAAACTTACATAGTTATCAAAAGAATAAAGCCAACTGCAAAATAAGAATCAGCAGGATGCAGTAATCCAATCATAAAGGACAGTCAAATGTGCTTACATATATTCAAGAAATCAATTATCTGAGTTATAAATAATAAGTAGTTCATTTGTATCCTTTTTTTTTCTTTAAGATTCCACGTATAAGAGATATCATATGGCCTTTTATTTTTCTCTTTCCAGCCCACTTCACTTAATAACAATCTCCTCCAGGTCTATCCATGTTGTTGCAAATGGCATTGTTTTATTCTTTTTTATGGCTGAGTAGTATTTCATTGTGTATATATACCACATCTTCTTTATCCAATCATCTGTTGATGGACATTTGGGTTGTCCCTCATGTCTTGACTATTGAAAATAGTGCTGCTATGAACATTGGGGTGCATGTATCTTTTTGAATTATATTTTCCTCCAGGAGTGGGATTGCTGTATCACATGGTAAGCCTATTTTTATTTTTTTAAGGAACCTCCATACTGTCCTCTATAGTGTCTGCACCAGTCTACACTCCCACCAACAGTGTGGGAGGGTTTCCTTTTCTCCACACCCTCTCCAGTATTTATCATTTGTAGACTTTTTTGATGGCCATTCTGACTGGTGTGAAGTGATACTTCATTGTAGTTTTGATTTGCATTTCTCTGACAGCAATGCTGAGCATTTTTTTGTGTGCCTATCGGCTATTTATAAGCCATTAGATTTTTTTGCCTATGCATTGAAGAATCGAAAATAAGCCAGTGTTCCCTGCTCTCTAGAAGGACACAGTCTTCCTGTGAAAATAAATCTTAATCTGGTTTGCAAACCCTGCAGGGTAGTTCATTACTACATGCATGTAGAATATGCCCACAGAAGGGTCTCTGCTGAAGTAGGATCACCTCAAAGCTATGGACTCCACAACATATGGAGCCAAATACTAATTTTTCGATGACTTTTGTGATTGCTTTGCTTTGGTGCCCACCAGGGCGTAATCTCTCTTTCCAATACACACACATCTCAATTACTGTTTCAGGATTATCCATCGTACACAGCCTTTGGCCAAAACCAGTACGCACAATATTACTCGGCATCAACGTATGGAGCATACATGACATCAAACAACACAGCCGATGGCACGTCATCCTCAGCCTCCACCTATCAATTGCAGGAGTCTCTTCCAGGACTGACTAGCCAACCAGGTACAGATCTTCATCCAGGTGAAATACTTTGAAATGTTTTGCTGTGTCTAATAATATGGAGATAATTGACATTTTAAAAACATGACTGAAAGTTCTCAGATAATTATGCTGATGTTTAATCTGTGCTAGTACTACTGTATTAGGTGAGGCTCTCCAGCATTTCAGAAAACCCTTCTTTTAGATGTAGGATTGTTAGGAAATTTTCATCTCAAATGATAGTGTATATATGAATATAGAGATAAAAAGGTAAGTGGATCTTTTGACAGACTAACTCTCGATTTTGTGAAGATCTTAACAATAGAAAAGTTGAAATATTATCTTCTTTGGATAAAACTGATAAAATTTCCATTATGCTTGAGAAACGGTATAGCTAGCTTTTTCACCTTGTGAGTCACCAGGAGCTCCAGCCAGTGGTCATTTCCCACATTCTTAGGATTTCTAGGACCATTGGTAGATAGTTTAATATCTTTGTCTGATCAGCACATATTTAAAATCTATTGTATTCTTCATTGCTGGAAGCTTATCTCTATTCTTATTAGAACTGTATTTGCTGACATATCTTTAACACAGCCGAGGAATTTAAAGTTAAAAGCAGGTTTAATAGAGATCCTTCGCAATCCCAATCAAAATTTCAACAGGACCTTTTAGAGAAATTATCAAGATGATTCTAAAATCATAAGGAAAAGCAAAGAAACTAGAATAGTCCAATAATTTTGAAAAATAAGAACAAGTTTGAGGACTCACATTACCTGGTTTCAAGACTTACAAAGTGTAGTAATGAAGAGTGTTTGGTATTGCTAAAAAGGTTAGCTGCATAGAGCAATGAAGGAGACTAGAGTCCAGACGCCCATAGTGACCAAGGGACAAGGGCAATTAGAGAATACATAGGTTTTCAAAAAATAGTGCTGAAACAATTGGACATGCATATTAAAAATTAAAAAAAAACCATAAAACAGAATCTTGACTTGTAACTCATACCATATACCATACATGTAAAAACCAAAATTTCTAGAAGAAAACATGGAGAAAATATTTGTGGCCATGGATTATATAAAGGTTTAATAGATAAGACATAAAAACACAATTCAGAAAAGAAAAGAAAAATTAGACTTCATAAAACAAAGAATTTCTGCTCTTCAAAAGACACCATTACAAGGATAAAAAGACAAGCCATAGATTGGGAGAAAATATTGTAAAACACATATCTGATAAAGGACTTGTATCCAGACTGTATAAGGAACCATCAAAACTCAATAAGAAAAATGAAGTTAAGAATTTTGTTTGTTTGTTTTTGTGAATACCATTAGTAGGTTCAAGAATATTTTTCTGACTTCTATTATTTGCAAGAACCAAACTCATCCCTGCTTCTTTTTTGTCCTGCTTTGGAAGGGCAAAAGAATAGGGAAGCATGGTCACCACACAGCACATTCTTTCTGACTGGACCAGTGGTTCCAAGAAGATACAAGACCATTAAACAATTATTTATTGAGTGCCTGTTAGGTGCATCAGCAGTGAATGAGCTGTCTGCATACATTTAGCTTCCATTTAACAAGCCAAACAAAGATCAAGCAAATAATTACAATAATATGAATGCTGAGAAAAGGAAAATGCTGCATAATATTAGGAATATTAATGAGAAAACCAACTTAAACATAAAGAAGTGACAATGAAGGTGACACTTTAAGCAACAGCTAAAATATGCCCATTTTCATGAAATGGTCACATTCTTTCTTTTTGGTGCCCTGTTCAGAACCTTGTCTCTAACTATGGACCCAGGGGAAAACAGTTAATATGGGTACTAGACTTTGTCTTGATGCCCCTGCTCTTTCCTCTTGTCTTCCTTTTAGATCCTCCCTCCTGAGCGCAGAGCACACAGCCTCTTTGGATTCCTGGTCCTCGTTCCCTCCTGTTTAGTGTTTCAGTCTAGCCTCTGCCTCTCTGAGCATCTATATCCTGTGCAGGGCCAGAACGAAGGGAAGGCAAGTGACGCCCAGGGTGCAAAATTTAAGGAGCCGTTCATTCTTGGGGTCCTTAAATTTGCACCCTTGGCATCTCCCTCGCTTTAATTTCTTCCCAGCCTAAATTCTGGGTTCCACATCTGTCCTCATCCTCTTTGAGTAAATACTTATATTTCATTAAGAATCTTATCTTGAAGAGTGTGAGTGATTTTAGGATCCTTGTTTGACAAGTGGTGGAAACACTTTATTTAGAAAAGGTATTTGACATTCTCGTCACACTGTGAAAGGGTTTTCTCACTGGTGAATGCGTGGGCAAAACAAGGTCAGATGACTGTGCTCAGAAACAAAACCACAGAAGTGTTTGATAATCCAGGTATATCAGAGGCTGAATAATAGGACCAAGAGAGTGTTTTTGAATTTACTCATATTCAGTATCAGAATGCTGCAAATTTCTTCAGCCCTCCATTGGTTGCTAATGCCAATAAAAATGGTTTGACATAATTTCCAGATCTTTCCAGACTTTCTATTGAATTTAAAGAAGAAATTATTTCTACTTGTAACTATATTATTCTTTGACCTCAGACCTTCAGTCAAGGTAATTTTAAGTTTGATTCTGCCTTTGTAGATCTGGCATGCATCCAGAAAGTAAAATTCATAACTACAGGGTTTTTCTTTATTATTGATGAAATCTGAGGTATTTTGTTTAAGGGTATGAAAAGTAATTTCCATTGATTGGCTCTGCATTTTGGACTTAAAGCTGAGACCTAACAATTAAATCCACAGTTTTTCATAAATCATTCGCTGTTGACTTCTCCTGCTTAAAATGGAAACATCCTTCATGTTCTGTAAGAGACAGCTGGTTGTTCTGATTTAGAGATAAACCTAATGAAATAAAGTTGGATTTAAATATCCAAAACTTAGAAGGTACAGTTATTCATTGCAGTGCTGATTAAAAATATGAATATTCTATCATGTATAGTGTTGGCCCAGGAAAAAGCCTAAGGCAGTGAGAAATGACTAATGTTATTTGGAAATTGCAAATAGCATTCAGCTATTTAGTTTACCTTATTAGGTAATTTGACAATATACTTAAAGAAATATTACCATGCTGATTAAGAACAGATATTTTAGTTCATTATCTTTAAAAAGATCATTCTTTGCCTTTAACTTAGATATTACCCTTGGTATATTATATTTTTGATTTGCATTTATAATGTTTGATGACTGATTAGCACATTAAGCTTAACGATAATTGTATAGCTCCTCCTTTTTAAAATTTTAAAGATCTTTAGAATTAAATATAACTAGCAATTCGTAACAATATTATTCTGTACTCTGGGACCTTGGCAAACATTCCGATACATTGGCTAATTAAACTTTACAAGTGCTTCAGAGGAGTAGAGGATATAGTGAAATCACTTCACTCTTTGAAAAGAAGCCAGTTTCTTAAGCAGAACTCAGTAGACTTTCCATAGCTTCATGGCACTTCACATCAGGACTGGAAGGAAAGCAAAGTGCTAATTTGTTTCACTGAAGCTAATAAGAGGATTTAGATGGAAAGGACTGACCATATTTAACTTCTCTGCCAATCTGCATTCTCCCTACCTGCAGCATTAATGTACTCTAGTGCAGTTACCTGAATGAAATTCACAGAGGCTCTGGAATTAACATTCTTCTTTAAAAAAAAAAGTGTCAACCAATGTTTAAAGACTGGTAGAGCCCAAGTTCCTGGTCTTGCCCTTTATATAGGAGAAAGGATAGAGCCTTCGAAAGATGTGGAGGTCAGAACAGTTCCACCTGGGTGGTTACTGAAGGGGGCCAGATGCAGCCCCTGCCCTCTTCAGGACCTGCTCTTTTACTTTGATGTTCTTTGGGTGAATTCCATGGCCTTCACTCTCACAGAGATTGTATAAAGTCTGTATTACTCTTCTAATCAGTAGAAATGGATATGGGTTTGACGTCTTTGTAACCTGGAAGGTCTGTTGCTGTTTGGGGGAGGAAGTATTACCTAGTGGTTAAAACAGGAGTCCTGGGATCATACCAGCATTTCACATACAAGCTATTTCATCTTGGTAAGTTAAGTCCCATATGTCTCCAGTTTTAAAAAGAGGATAACGAAGGACCGAATTCATTGGGTCAAAGTGAGGTTTAAGTCAAATGTGTCTGTGTGTGTGTGTGTGTGTGTGTGTGTGTGTGAAGAATGTTTCACAATAAAGAGCTCTGACAAATCAACAAGAGAATGATAACCTAAATTTTTTAATTAGCCAAAGATTTAAAGTTACTTTATAAAAAGATTACCAAATGGGAAGAAATAAATAAAAAATTTTCTCCATCATTACTCATCAGGAAAATGCTAATTAAAACCACAATGAGATACCACCATACCCCTACAATTGCTAATATAAAAAAAAACTAGCATTACCAAGTGTTGGCAAGGGTGTGGAGCACCTGGAACTCTCATTGCTTTTAGGAGAGTGAATTAATACAATCGCTTTGGGAAAAGGTGGTCAGTTTGTACTGAAGATGAAGATATGCCTTCCCTGTGACCCAGCAGTCTGGCTGCTAGGTATATACATACAAGGATATGCTAGGAAGAGGAACTTATGGCCACGAGTACAAACAAGGATGCTTATAGCAGTTTTATTCATAGTTGGCTAGAACTACAAATAACCCAAATGTTCATCAACAGAATAGAGAAATAAAGCACAAGATACA